TGCTTAGTTTCTCATGTAGTAGTGAAAGCTTTTAGCAGTTCAACTTACGTAGTTGGGAGGGGCAACACTGAAGTATGTTCTCACTGCTCTGGCTTTTTCCAGTAACTTAGAATAGTGGAAATGTGTGTTGTTTTCTTAGATTAGAGATAAACATGGTTGCATTTTTCAGACAGATCACTGTATTTTCTTGACTTCTTTCTTTCTTGCATAGTGAACCCTATAAATAAATAAATAAATAACTTATAAAGAAAGTTTGGGCCCCTTGCCCCCACTGTTCAGCATTATATGTTGACATATGTTTTTCTTCAAAAATGACACATTAAATATTTTTATGTTAGTGAGAGCATTAAACAAGATATGTTTTTATTGAAACCATTTTATGATTTTGTTTCTCAGCTAGAAATTAGCAATCTAGAAAAAACTCGATCCATAATGTCTGAAGAGCTAGTTAAATTAACAAATCAAAATGATGAACTGGAGGAGAAAGTGAAAGAGATCCCCAAGCTTCGAGTTCAGCTACGAGTAAGTATTCTTCACTTCAGGATGAATCGAAGATATTTTCATCCAGTTATTAAATATCAAGTTTTTAGTTTACATCAGGTGCATATGTGTGACTTAGTAATTTCTTTGAAAATTAAGGAGTCAGTAGTTGAGTAAAGAATGTTAAAGATGAATCTGTTGCTTGTGTCATTGCATATCTAAAGTATTTTCACAAAACCTTTAGTACTACTCAAAGAAAATGAGATTTTATTTGGCCAATACTTATTAAAGTAAGCATGTACATTGCATGCTTTGTAGTATTTGACTCAATGTTTGTTTCATCACATTACTGTGACATAATTCAATGTTTGGGCAGACTAGTCTTGTGGGATAAATGCCAAGTAATACTTAATCCAAATCTGTCACGAAGACAGAAATCTCATCAAGTATACTTAAATTAATAGGGAGGAGACTGATTAAGTCGTGTTTGGAGAGAATTACAGATTTAGTGGGGAAATAGGGGTGGTGTGTGTGGCATATGTGCATGTGTATGTGCTGGGATGTGTACCAGGAGGCCATGAGGATAAGTGGGTGTCCTGCTCTGTCACTCTTCACCCTCCTGTTCCCTTCAGACAGGAATCACAGTCAGCCTGGAGCCACCAGCCCCAGTGAGCCTTCTCCCAGTTCTGGGGTTACAGGTCATGTGACTTTTTATGTGAATGTTGAGGGTTAGAAGTGAGGTCCTCATGCTTGCTCAGAAAGTGCTCTTACCCACTGAACCCTCTATTGAGGTTTCCAAAGAAGTTCCTCTTTTTGTTCTGTATTCCTAGATAGACTGGGTATAAGTTTAATTTTTTAAAAGGTAAGTTTATTCTTTTTAAAATTAATATTTTTGTTCAACTCGTGATGTTTTTCTATTGACTTGTAACTACTGTAGATATTTGTATGGTCATTAAAGGATTATAAACAAATATTTTTTAGGATTTGGATCAAAGATATAACACTATTCTGCAGATGTATGGAGAAAAGGCAGAAGAAGCAGAGGAACTTCGCCTGGATCTTGAAGATGTAAAAAATATGTATAAAACTCAAATAGATGAACTTCTAAGACAAAGGCTCAGTTAACTTGTGAAATTCATATTCCCATCAAACTGAATGTAAACACTTAATATATAAATGCAGACTTCCAATAAATTCTTTTATAGAGTTAGAAAATGGGATTTGCTGTAGAGTGTAAAAAAACTTTTTTAAAAATTCTTTTATAGTATGTAGTTATATTTGCAGTTAAATTATTTTGTGCAATATTTGAATTTTATTTTTGAAACTATTCTTTAAAAATTTTTAAAGCATTTTTTTTTGTGTGTGCCTTGAACAGCACAGAGAATTATTACTTTACCCACATAGCAGTACAGTTAGGAAAGGAGATTGCTGTTTTCATATTATTGTGGCTATATAATTAATTGTATTGTATCTATAATTTATATGTGTTTGTATATATTGAGAGACTTACAGAGTAATGTTAACATTGAAACTTTGAAATCTTTCACACTGAAAACATATTTCTTGAAAGTATTTTAAGCATTTAAGTGGAAAGGTTATTAAGCCTGTGACTAAATTATAAACTAAGACTTTCCTTTAAAAGCAGAGGTCACACTGACATGTCTAAAATATAAAGAGGAATTTAAGCTTAAAAAATATTTCTGTTTTGAAAATTTATTCCATGTGGCTTCCACAATGAAGTGTGAACAAATGTAGACCCTTTTTATTACTTTTTATTACTTATCCAAAGAAAGCTTATAAATATTCAATATTAGCTACACATAATTGGATAGTGGAAAATTTTGCTTGCAATAAATTTTGACATAGCATCAGTAGCAGGTAATTTTGAAGTATTTTACTACACTGTGAAACAAATCTAACATAATAAAATCACTGACAAAATTTACTCTTAAAAATTAGTCAATTTACTTTTTAAAAACTACTTGTTTAATTTTATACAGCTGTATTTTGGGGCATTAAAAATGAATGTTTTAAAACACTCTCCATAGCAAAAGAAAAGTTATAGGAGTACATTTAAATTGGAAATTTTATAATTTTGCATAGTTTGACATTTTTTTAATTGAAGTTTCAACAAGCAAAAAAATAACAAAAAGTAGTGTAGAATAGCTTTAGAACATAGTTATGCACTCTTCCAAAAGTTGCTTTGTTTAAAAGTTAATCGGGTTGTGTTTTAGACCTGTAAAATATTTTGATTTTATTACTGAAAATTATTGAACTGCTTTTATCATAGCCCTTCTTTATCTATTCTTTTGCTTTTTGTGGTTCTAGCTAAGGTCAAAAATAATCCAAAAATACATGGAAATCCCAGAAGGAGTTTCTAAGTGCAAAGGTGTATGCTGTTCAGAGTAGCCTGCTGAAATCTCACTAGTTGACTGCATTTGTCCAGTACATGCACACCCCCCTTGTTAGTCACTGAGCCGTGTCCGCCACTGGGTCTACTGTCATAGTGTGGCAGGCTTGTGTCAGGTAACCCGTCTGTTCTTTAATGGCCCCACAGTGAAGAAGCTGTCAGAGGTTAGGCAGAAGTTCTTCCCTTTAGCAGAAAGATGAGCATCACTGTTGGCTATCTTGCTGGAGGTTGGTAGCTTCCACTGTTTCAGGCATTCAGTGAGGGTCTGAAATTATCCTCCCCACAATGAGAAGATAGGATTTAAAATAAAAACTCGCTAAATTTTAGTTACATTTTAAACAGTACTTCAGAATACAGCTGTGAGTAGTCATCTTGCAGAATGGAGAATTTTGGGGGGTGATTCAAGTGACCTTGATTTTGGTCCTTGTGTTCTATACAGTGTTTCTGTCATTGGGTCTCTCTGATTTGTAGCATGAGTAAATGTCCTTTTGGTGAAAGTCACAGTCGTAAAATTAAGTTTCTATATTTTAGTGGTAGGGAACCGCTTCTTAACTTTTTTTCCAGCTTTAAAATGTTTAAGCCGGGTGGTGGTGGCATACACCTTTAATCCCAGCTCTTGGGGGGCAGAGGCAGGTGGATCTCTGTGAGTTCGAGGCCAGCCTGGTCGCAGATCGAGTTCCAGGATAGCTTGGGCTACACAGTGAGACCCTGTCTCAAAAAAAACAAAACAACAAAAAACAGCAACAACAAAAAAATCAGCTTTTAATATTCAGGGGCAGGACGACAAGTCTGACAGCAATAAAAATGTAGAGTCTGAAGAGACAGGAAACCTCAATTTCATAATTCTTGGCAAGCATTTGAAACTGGTAGTTTGGGAATATAAAATACTTCTTAAACAAATAGTTTAAAAAGTGGCAGAGAAAAAAATTGAAATTAAAATTTTCTGTATTAAACTATAAATGTTACAATATCAACATTTAATATTTTTCTTGTCCTTATTAATAAAATCAGCTACACTTAAAATCTTAAAGTGTTTTCAGCTTATTTATTTATAGAATGACACACAACCATTTATATCTATCACATGGTCTGCTTCATCTGCAAATTAATAGCTGATAGTCAAACTGTCTTTATTTTGACTAGTATATATTTAGACCTTTCAATACATTTCAAGTTGGTAAGGGGTACTGAAGAAATTTCTTATAAATAATCCAGTCGGTGGCAGAACACTTATTAAATATTGGTTGCTCTTTCATTAAATTTGCTTATATATCATTGAAAATTCTCTACTCATATGCTAGTAGAATATTCTAGTGCATAAAATAGTTTGGAATTATGTGCTTCCATTCCTGAGAAACAAGGAAGATACTTGGAATTAAGAGTGTAAGAGGCACGGGCACTTGGTATCAGACGCTGGGGCCTCTGGGAGCCTGGGTGGAGAGGCTGCTGCTGCTGCTGCTGCTGGGCCTCTCTTGAAAGCACTGTATAGCATTTAGCATGTAGAATGTACCAAATACATGGTAGTACAATTCAAAATATTCTAAGTGTGGATGATTTCTGACTTAGAGGAATTTCAGTTTTTACAGTTAAGTAAATGAAAAGAATATTCAGGAATTATTTCCCCCATCCCTCAATTATTTAATTAATTGAACGTTTTATTTGAGTGCTTACTAAAAAGCACCTGATTTGTAGTATTTAAAAGAAAGCCCCCAGATTAAAGAATGAGTGTAAAAGTCTTATTTTCCTATTGTTTGTTTAGTATTATATACATGTATGTTCTAGGCGATCACTTCTCATTTTCATTACAAAAAAGCTGATCCAATTTTTCTTATATTTGGTCAGTTTGAAACTTAAAAAAAAGCTACATATTTTGTAAAGGGCTAAAAATATCATTTAAATATAGACTGATAAATTATTTTAATTCCAAATGAAAGGTAATGTAAGTAAGCATGGATCTGATTTAAATAAAGATTTGAAAGTCTGCTAATGTATTTCATTTTCATATAATTCAGAGTGGTGTTTCTTTGTACATAGACCTGAGTGGTGGGACGGGCAGCTGTAGAGCTACATTGTAACTATTTCAGCTTGGCCGATCACACAGCGCCAGTACTGTCACTAATCTCCCCTTTACTGAGAACAGACTGGGTTCTTTTTTGTTTTTAATTCTTCCAGTCTTGAAGGGAGCTCCCTCTAAGGAGATACAAATCGTGTTTCAAAGTTGTTTGAAGTAGTGCTTTTGTGTTTCATGCAGCAACTGGAAAGAATTCAGGTCCATTTCAGTTTTCAAGGAATGCTGCGTACTTTAAATTCGTTTTATAAACTGTCTGCATTGTTCCAAAATCACTTGTCCTCGTATACCAATATTCTTTCCTTTTAGTAAACATTTAAAATATTCTCTCATCTGTGAAGAAGTACATTCGTGTGTGTGTGTGTGTGTGTGTGTGTGTACCTCTTAAGTAAGTGATAGTGTTCTTTTCCATGAAGTGATGAGTAGTATACAGAGAGACACATGGATTTATTTTTTGCACTTGCTTAGTTCTACATTTGATTCTCCTTCATCATGCAGCAAGTACACTCTAGCCATCTTTGTGGTCCATGAACTAACACTTGAACTGAGTTAAAAAAAATCTTACTATTTTATTATCTGGGTTTTTTATGGTTATTGAATGCTAAAAGCACAGCTAGCTTAGTCACAGTTTTCTGTTGGTGGCATTTGAGTTTGTTAGTGTCAGTTTGAAGAGAGCCAAAAATTAAAATTTTATGATATATTTTGTGGAAATTGGGAATGGCTATTCCAGTAATACAGAACTCTGTCTCATTTTTAAAATCCCATAACTCGTTTCCTACCAATCTTAGTGACTGCTCAATATATTGGTATCTAAAAGAGCACCATGTAGATGGCATACAGTTGGATTAGGTTTTTCTTTGCAATTAGACTAATCTGTGTTTAGAAACCTTTCACCTACTGCACATACACGTGTTTTTAATTGTATATTATTGCTTTTCAAAGTAAGCTCATTTCAAGTTGGTTTAAAATGACTACACTGTTCTGCATTGATGGGAAAGTTGCATTTCCTGATACAAACAAAAATAGGTTGGTGGCAAATAAACTGAAAAGAACATTTTTAAAGTCACTGCTATGGTGAAATGCACAAGCCCCCCGGTTAAGTTGCCTTTACCAAAGCAAGTTAAAATCCTGTTTCCTAGTGTGAGTTAGTAGTTCAGTTAAGAGCACTGATTGAGTTCAAGACCTAGTACCCACACGGCAGCCCTTGAATCAGAAGGCATGCTGGAGCTGCAAGGTGCCAAGAACAGAAAAGAGTGGGAGATACACATGCAAATAACACATAACAAGCAATCGGAATAGAAATAGTGAAATAGCAAAACCACAAAAAAACAAAACAAAAACAGTAGCCTATGAACTTGGGCAGCTCATGAACAGGTAACACTCCGTGGAATCTACAGTATCTTCACTACCCACCAGAAGAGTGTGTGTCACTACATTCAGTCTCATTTTAAAATCAGGGCAACTTCTGCTCAGAATGAAAAAGGAGTAAAATTCCAGCCCTAGGTGACATGTAACAGTCCCATGATCCACCCGCTTACTCTCTGGTGCTGATGGCCTGCAAGCACCTGGAACAGCCGCCAAGGACTTGTAGGCAGGTGTCCCGCATTTGGGGAGATGCAGGCTGCTGTCCTACGTTTGGAGAGGTGGAGATGGGTGTCCCGCGTTCCGGGGGATGTAGGCGGGTGTCTCGCGTCCGGGGTGGATTCAGGCGGAAGTCCCGCATGGGTTAGGCTGCGGGTCCTAGGCTGTCTCAGTAGCCTTGGCTGATGGGTGGCCAACAGTGCCGTCTAGACAATCGGGCCGCTGGGTGTAGCCCAGGTCACTCGGTTCCGCCCTGGTGCTCCAGGCCAAGGTGTCGCGGCTGCTCCCGGGCGCCCCCTGGCCCGGCTTGGGCGCCCGAGGTTTCCGGTGTACGGCCGCCGGCGGTGACGCCTTGCTGCTCGGGAGCAGCCGCCGCTTCTCCACAAACCAGCTGCAGGTGGGCCCGCGCCGTTCTCGCCTGCTCCCCACCCGCGTCTGCACCCCCGTGGGCTCACAGCCGGATGCTGGGGCCTCGATCCGGGTCCGCGGCCTTCAGCTCGTCCCCCGGAGCCTGCTGGTGGCCGCGGGCAAGGGCGATGCCTGGCCAGGCCTGTCCTGTTGCCCAGATCCCCAAGCTGGGGCGGAGTCACTCTCCAGATCGTCTCCGCACACCTGGATTCCGAGCGCTTGCCAGGACAGCAGCCCGGGCTAGGGCTGGCTGCTGCGGGGCACGAGAGACTGACCCCTCCACACCAGGGAGGAGGTGACTTTCCGAAGACAGCCGGGGGGATAGCCACCTCGGCGCCTCAGGCAGCCAAGCCCTGTTTGAGCACTCTGCTCACCTGCCTTGGGGACTTTTTGAGTCCACTGCCAGCTCTGTTGCAGAGCACTGCCCAAAGCCACTCACGTGGTCGTCCCTGGTGACCCCAGGTCTCATCTTTCCCGGCGTTCAGATTTTTACCTTTTTCCTCCTCCTCCTCTTTTAGGCCTGTGGAAATCCAATCAAGCCATACACGGGTGGAGCGTGCTTGGCCGTTTTGTGCAGAAGGACGCAGTAGCCTAACCTACTAAAGCTTCCATTTGCTGGAACCTGGGCATCCACCCATCCCTGCCAAGTCTTGGGAGAAGACTCAACTCCAGGAAGGCTTTCTGCCAGGGCCTGAGGTTGTACTTTCATGCCCCACAGCCACCATCACCCAGCATATGCAAGTGGGTACGTGCCCTCCCTTGCAAAAGCCAACTGTCTGAGCTGCCTCTTTAGATTTTTCCCCGTGGCCAGGGGTTGCTTTTCTCCATGAATGGCTGAGTTTAGTTAACCGGTAGAACTCATTGCTGGGCAGTGGATTTGGATAATAGAAATTCAGCACTTAGTCATAGCCGTGACTTTATGAGCAAAAGGGTGAGTCCAAGGACTGAGTGGCCTGCTGTGATCCTGAGGTTGGCGCTGGCCCAGGTAGCCCTGGGAATCAGAAAGCAGGATTACTGCTGTGAGAACTGGGAACAGACTGGTCTTAGGAATGTTTTCTCTGCTAATTATCCAGTGGTTCTGCACTGAGCGATGTCGGTGTGGAATGGGCTACCTTCTCTCCCTGCTCACCACTAGCATCTGCCTGTTCTGTGGGCTACTGTGTCCAGTGCCATAGTGCCTGTGACTTGACTTTGAGAGATTTGGTATTCATTCAATAAGGAAGAGCAAGCATCCTGAAACCAGGGCCCCTGGCTAGGGGTTTTCCAGTTAAAGTATTTTCTCTCTTGGTAGTTTCTTTACATTAAAATAGTAGCTGAATAAGGTCTCTTGTGGCATGCTTTTAAGGTAATGTGCTTTATTTCTTTCAGGTTTTAAGTTATCCAGGACATCAACAGCTTCTGGGTGATTCCAAGGATTAAAGAGTTAAGTATTTTCATTACTAAGTAATTATTATTTCTATCAATATGCATTTATAAATTTTATGAAATTGCTAGTAACTCGCTGTTAGATCAAAGTTCCAACTAAAAATTCTAATTTGGACTTACAAGGGATAGCAACATGCTCTTCAGGACTCCCAAAGTAAGAAACCCCTTTAGTTAATTGCTCAAGCCGGCAAAGGACTTGTTCCCAGAACCCACATGGTTCTGACTTTACGACCCCAGAGCCCTCGAACTTGAACAGAGCAGCCTGTGTGTAATGGTCAGCAAAGGCTGATTTGAAAGCTGTTGTGCTCACATCCTTGTAAAGGCCAGACTTTACTGTGGGACGCCCAGGGTGTGCTCAGTTATCTTGTAGAAAAGACACTTAGGGAAAAAAGAAGCCTTGCTGCCAGTAAAAGGGGCAGAATGGTGTGAGTTGGTCAGGGATATAAAGGAGAAACCCAAGAGATGTATCCTTTCCTGGGTAGGGTAGGTGAGCAGACATCCAGTGAATTCTTGACCATTGTCGTTTTTCACCATGTTAATGCTTTGTTCAGACCTGTATAGGGAGATTTTAAATGAATCCTTTCCTTGTGAAATCTGATGATGGTTAGTTCGTAAGAGAAACTGACAACAGATGATTGATGGGGGTCGGGAGGGGACCCGCAAACCTTGCTGTAATGCCTAATAAATGTGAGGCTTGGAGAGGCGCAGGGTGGCTGCACTTTGATGACGGAATATCGATGGTTGGGCTTCTGTGGTGTGGAAGGTGGTTCAGGCTAGGGAGCATTGGCGCTTCTAGCTGGGGTCGTCTTGCTATCTGCAAGGTCACAGCTGTCTGTGGTCCTCTTCCCAGGGCACCCAAGGGGATGTGAGGTAGGGAGGCCAATGTCTGTATCCACTGTTTACTAATGTATACAGATGCAAATTTCTTTTCTTTTCTTTCTTTTTTTTTCTTTTTTTTTTTTTTTACAAGACAACAGCATTTTGGAACCATCCCTGGACCTGAAGAGTTCTGGGGTCTCTCTAGATAATCAACTCTGAAACAGGCCAAGTTGGGGTGGGATATATTTTCTCACACTTGTGTATCTTGCTCCTAGCACAGTACTTGGCACATAGCAACTGCTCAGTAAATATTTGGTGTACAAAGAAGCATGATTTGGTGACATAGTAGAGTATATAGTAATCATGCTTAGCCATTTGGTGTTTGAAGAGGATTTATATATTTACTGTGTGGAATTGGGGATTGAACCCAGGGCCTCATGCATGCTAGGCAAGCATTCTACCCCTGAGCTATATGCCCAACCCTAAAGAGGAATTTAAAAATTTTTAAACAAGGTGCTATTTTAAATTTATTCTTTGTGAATTTCACACACGCATACAATGTATTTCAAACATACTCGATCCCAACAACCTCCCAACTTCATGTCCTAAAAGGTGATATCGACCTGGTTGGTTTTGAACTCACAGAGATCCTTCTGCCTCTGCCTGTGTTGGGATTAACTGTGTGTACCACCACTCTTGTCTAAAGAGGCTTTCTTAGTCATGGCCATCTGTGGCTGTCATCACCATTAGTAATGAGGTTTTCAATTGTATCTCTAGGTCTGCAGGTTGCTATGTTAATGCTGCTTGTCTTTGGAGTATTGCTTCATGAAGTCCCACTGAGTGGCCAAGATGAGGCTCATTCTGAGGCTGACAGTGTGCCAGGCAAAGCCCTGTATGACTACTCCCAGCCTCCGCCTCCCAGAGAAACACATTCCCTTCTTCTTGCACAATAACAGGCATATTGCCTCTGTCTGCAAAGAGGATTCCCATTGTCCATATAAGGTAGGTCTTACTTCTTCTCATTCATTTTCTCATGGTCAGCATGCTATTTTTAGTTGTTTTTTTTTTTATTTACACCTTTATATTTTTAGGTTAATTTTTGAGGTTAACATACAAAGCAATGTGTTTCATAATGTCATTTTCATGCATATGTTTTCTCACATTCATACCTTGCTCTCACTCATACAAGGATACAATTTAGGCTGGCTTGTTATTCTGTTTCATAACTCATGGCTAAAGCTGGGCTTTTGACATTTGCCATGAGTCAACCACTGTTTTCATTTCGTATAATATTCCTAAGGGATGAAAATTAGCTTAAAACCATATCCCACTCACAAGAAGGGAATTCAGCATTAAAACTGTAGAGAAAATTAATGGACAGCTAAAGCTATCTGCATATTCTGAAAAATGAAGCACATGAGATTTCAGGAGGAAAAGAACATTTTGTCAAAGTAAAGAATGTCACACCTCTCCTTTTGGCACTTAGGAGGCTTCTTAGCACTTCATTTCAGTAGTCACAACCTCAGCCTTGGCTCCAAATAAGTAAGACTGTGTGAGTTTGGAAAGTGCTCAGACAGAGCCCATTAAGACGCCTCCGGAGGCTTTGGAGATCAAAGTGGGGCATTGTAAAGACACTTCCTTTCCCATGGTGCTGGCACAGGAAGCTCCTGGAATCTGACCGCCATGGCTCCTGGGCCTTGCAGAAGAGCCCTGGCCTCCGGGGCTGGGGAGCTCTGACCTTGTGCTGTTTGCTACTGATCTTGATTGATGGGTAAAGTCGCTGAGCCACCCTTTTTACAGAATCTTTTAGTAACAGAAATTCCAGAGGATATATGTTTTTTTGTTTGTTTGTTTTTGCTCCCCCCCCCCCCCCCCCCACTTCTAGTGCTTGATTATAGAGTTTACTTTCTGAGAAAGACAGAAGATAGTCCCTTAAGGTACCTCAGGGAATCCTAATTCAGGTTGTCTGTGGTAGTCTAACTAGAGCCTGGGCTTTGGTTATGGAGCAGACATTGGAGGAATGAGTAAAGACGATGGTGGAGACTCTCGAGCCTGCCCATCTCAGAATGTTGCATGAATATATATTGTAAAATGTAAATATGGAAGTTCTGTCAAGAAAGGCCCGAGAGTCTCCTCTAACCATAGGAAGCTGAGAGACAATTCTAAAGGTACACATTTTATGTTCTAGAAACATCTAGAAAATCTAAACTACTGCTGGGGTTATGAGAAATCCTGCAAACCAGAGTTTAGATTTGGTTACCCTGTTTGCAGCTATGTCGACATGGGATGGTAAGTCTCCCCATGGAATCCCCTCCTCCTGCCTGTGTCTGTGTTCTTTGAAGTGCATGCTGAGTCTCAGCTAGACTCTGGTACATAGTAACTCCTGAAGATGTTGATTTACTTATCCAGGTCATGAATTCAATCCATCTCACTGTTTTTCTTCTATCAGAGGGAGAAACTACATTGACTACAGAACCCCCCCACCCTGTATATGCTAAAAAGATAAATGGGAAGTTTCTTATAGATTCTTAAAGACTAGCTATCTATGCTCAAGGGGAAGTCAAATATAATTAGTAAATCTAAGTGCATGTGACAACATGGTAAACAGCACTTTATTTTCTTCAGTTCCAGATGACCCTAACTACATAGATTTCTGTTGTGCCTTTTAATATGAAGGAATAGTCTATGAATTGTGAATAATTTGTTTGGTATCTTTATGTGCAAAGTGATAATTTGGGGGGGAACTGTGATGGCATACTGTAAAAAATAAGGTACAAATAGACTTTCAGTAACTCAATTGATAGAAAGAAAACCCAAGGCCAGAAAAAAGAAAGTAGATGGAAAGATAGCTTAGTGGTTAAGAGCACTTGTTGCTTTTTGTAGAGGTCCTGGGTTCAGTTCCCAGCACCCATATGGTGTTCACAGCCACCCATAACTCCAGTTTCAGAGAATCTGATGCCGTCTTCTGACATCTGTAGGCACCAGGCATGCACATGGGGGCACACATGCACACATACAGGCAAAATACTAATACACATAAAATAAAGTTTAAACAAAAAGGGAAAAACAAGTCCTAAGATCTCTTTCTTTGCAAATAGGACAGACACTCTGGAGTCGGCTGTGGACATGTTCTGGAAGCAAGCTGACTTTGGATATGCCCGGGAGCGGCTGGAGGAGATACATGTGCTCTGTCAGCCAGAGAGAACTGTGAGTGTCCAGCTACTTAAGTAAGCTTGCTTGGTGGAACCAATATTATTTGTTTTATTGTATAGCTTGTAATGTAAAAACAAGATGGTCCCATCATACAGCTTCCCTGTGTAGCCCAGGCTGGCTCCAGACCCACGGTCTTTCTGGTTCATCCTTGGTACTAGACTTATAGGTGGAAACTAGGGGTGGAGTTGGGAGTTGTTACAGTCAGGGCCTGGGCTCTTTGTTGTTGTTGTTTTTAAGCCAGGGATTCTCTGTGTAGCTTTGCACCTTTCCTGGAAAAGCCAGGGATTCTCTGTGTAGCTTTGCACCTTTCCTGGAAAAGCCAGGGTTCCTCTGTATAGGTTTGCACCTTTCCTGGAACTCACTCTGTAGCTCAGGTGGGCCTCAAACTCACAGAGATCTGCCTGGCTCTGCCTCCCAAGTGATGGGATTAAAGGCATGTGCCGCCACCACCTGGCCAGAACCTGGACTCTTAACAGCCCTACCAAGCTAGACTCATTCCACTCGTTGGCTATAGGACAGAAACTCGCAAGCACTCATGAAAAGCAGAGAAGGAAGATTTATTCCGTGCCGTCACATTGGGAAAGGAAGGGGAATACAGTGGTTTAGTGACTCTCAATATCACCTTCCACCATACACACACACGGCATCTTCAGGGTCCTCCATGAGCTTGAGGTTTAAGTAGAGGGCTGTAGGTATGTGTCACAAAGCAGTCCCAGGAACAGTGTGGTCCTTCCTGGCCCATTGCCGTGTTGATCTCAGTCTTTCCTGAAGGGTGGTCTGACAAGTTGTGAAAACTATGGGAAATTTCTTCCTAGGAGAAAGTTACTGTATGCACCCCACCCCCATTCCTTCCCCCCTCCCCCTTTCTTCCCCGTCCCCTCCCCGCTAGCCTCCTTCCCCCAGCCCCAGACTGGCACCAGGTTTCAGCCCTTTCCTTCTCAGGACATGAAATTCCTGAGGAAATTCCAATTCCTTGGGGACTATTGTTTCAATGATCTGAGAGGCACAAGAAGAGAATGGACGTCTTCATTCCTGGCAGGGTTGCTGTAGTCAGTGTTCCCAAATAGGTCATTTTGTTTCCTTTGAAAGGCCCACCCTCCTCTTCACATATATATCAGATAGTTATATTTTGAGACAGTTAAAATAGTTTTAGATTTAGACCTCCCCCAACACAAGCCAAAGAAGAGAAGTGGGTAAATCTCATCTCTACAGATTATTTGTCAATTGTTTGGGATAAGTACTATGGTTGGAGCATTACTGATCTGTATTTGTTTAGTCTTGTGTGTATTTCAATTTGACTGTCATAGTTATTCCAGCAGGACAGATAGACTGAGGCCTCTTTTCTAGAATGACAAACAGGGCCCTCAGAGAAAGTAAGCAACTTCTCCAAGGCTACACAGCTATCTTGTAGAATTACATAACTGTATACTTAGAATTGAAAGACACCTCTCTCTCTCTCTCTCTCTCTCTCTCTCTCTCTCTCTCTCTCTCTCTCTCTCTCTCTCTCTCGTGTGTGTGTGTGTGTGTGTGTGTGTGTACTTCTCATCAATCCATGTCACACTCCAGCACAGTGAAGACTTCCCCTCATAACCCCCAAAATCTCCATTACCTACTCCCATCACATTGATAGCTGGGGTTGATTGATGATTGATTTATCTTTACATTTATTTATTTAGTGTGTGTGTGCTCACGAGATGTGAAGGTCAGCGGACATCTTACAGGAGTTGGTTCTCTACTTCTGCCATGGCGATTTTCTCTTTCTTTCTCTAGGGAACAACTCAGGTCATCAGGCTTTGGCCACAAGCACCTTTACCCCTCACCATGCAAGAGTTAGGGTCTCAACATGAATTTCTTAGGGATGCAAGCATTCAGTTCATTGGGATCTTTTACCGACTAGATTCACAAACAGGGCAAGCTTCAGGCCCCTCTTTCACTGGAAATTTTAGGGAAACCAAACGGCATTTAATCCCTAAATGAAGCTCAGAGCAGAAGTTCTTGAAGCACCCTCTCTTTCAGCGCACACTAGTGTAGCTATTGTTTTCCTGCCTGGCCCACAGTCAGGACAAATCTCTGTCACCTGCCACTCCCACAGCCGTCAGACCCAACCAAGTAAACACAGAGACTTATATTGCTTACAAACTGTATGGCCGTGGCAGGCTTCTTGCTAACTGTTCTTACAGCTTAAATTAATCCATTTCTATAAATCTATACCTTGCCACATGGCTCGTGGCTTACCCGCATCTTCACATGCTGTTTGTCATCGTGGCGGCTGGCAGTGTCTCTCTGACTCAGCCTTCCACTTCCCAGCTTTATTCTCCTCCTTGTCCCGCCTACACTTCCTGCCTAACCAATGGCCAATCAGTGTTTTATTTATTGACTAATCAGCAACACATTTGACATACAGACCATCCCACAGCACACTAGTTTGGTGGAAGGAGAGATGGGCTGTCGCTGTTGACTTTTCACTCAGTTAGAACAGCTCAGCCTTTCCTTGCTGTTGACACAGAGTCCCCAAAATTTATGGGACCGTTTGCAGAAGCGCCTCACATTCACATCGGTAAAATGCCTGTCCGGACTTGCATTCGAATGTCTCTTACATGTACAGCTTCCTTGTTTCCTTTGGCTCCTCCTTAGAAAAGGCTTTTTTCAGTACTTAGGGGTAGAAATAGTTTTGAAGGATTGTTTTTTTTTGGGGGGGGGGTGGTGGTGGGTGGACTGAAGTGAATCACATACATAGTTCTTGGCTTTAGAACTTGAGGGCTGATGAGATGGCTTGGCGGGTAAAGGTATCGTTTCCAAGCCTGGCAGCCGGAGTTCAGTCCCTGGCGTCTGGATGGCGGAAGGAAAGAACGGACTTCTGTAAGTTGTCCTCTCATCTCCACATGTGTACAGAGGCATGTGCACACACACATAAATAAACAAATGTAATGAAAAAATTAAAAATACACTTTCTTTAATGAAGCAGCATGTCGTGACATTTGTCTCTGTTCCCAGGACTTGGAGGGAGATCCTGAGTCTAAGGCTAGCTTGAACTATATAGTGTATAGCTATATATACACACACACACACATATATATTATATATGCACACACATATACATGTATGTGTACACATATGAAGTGATAAACTAGAGCATTTGAGAAATCATCATAGTAAGATAAATGTATGGAGACATGCAGAAGTACCCTTGACCAGACTGGTAGAAGGAGATAGCCGCACAGAAGCAGTGGAGGACTCCCTCTGCAGTGGAGTCTGCACAGAAGAAGCATTGGAGGACTCCCTCTGCAGTGGGGTCAGCAGTGGAGGATTCCCTCTGCAGTGGGGTCAGCATGGAAGCAGTGGAGGACTCCCTCTGCAGTGGGGCCAGCACAGAAGCGGAGGACTCCCTCTGCAGTGGGGTCAGCACAGAAGCAGTGGAGGACTCCCTCTGCAGTGGGGTCAGCACAGAAGCAGTGGAGGACTCCCTCTGCAGTGGAGTCTGCACAGAAGAAGCATTGGAGGACTCCCTCTGCAGTGGGGTCAGCAGTGGAGGATTCCCTCTGCAGTGGGGTCAGCATGGAAGCAGTGGAGGACTCCCTCTGCAGTGGGGCCAGCACAGAAGCGGAGGACTCCCTCTGCAGTGGGGTCAGCACAGAAGCAGTGGAGGACTCCCTCTGCAGTGGGGTCAGCACAGAAGCAGTGGAGGACTCCCTCTGCAGTGGGGTCAGCACAGAAGCAATGGGGGACTCCCTCTGCAGTGGGGCCACACACCACGCTGTCAGCATGGGCCGCACACTGAGGCCTTACAGTGCCATTCCTGTTCCCAGCTGACTGTTCTCCTCATCTCCATTGTATTCCAGAGTGACTCAAGTCTGCTTTGTTCCCGGTACCTTCAGTATTGCAGAGCTACTGGTCTGTACCTGGACTTAAGAAACATCAAGAGAAACCATGACAGGTACTTAACGTGCTGTGGCCGCTATCAAAGCCGATGGCGTTCTGAAATACTCCCAGGTGCAGGGCTATGTCTTGGGTTTGTTTTGTAGTAAAATGGTTGAAGAGTTAGGGAATAGTTGAGGAACAGGTGACCCGGGCCCTTTACCTGACGATCCCCCTGCTGACTTGGGTCCTGGGTATACTGGGTTCCGTATAGTGTATATATGGAAACTATGCAGCACATGCTTCTAAGTTACATTCCAAAGAGGGGTTTGGGGACATGACTCTGTTGGTAGTATGCCTGCACTACATACACCAGACATGGTGATATATGCTTGCAGTCCTAGCATTCAGAAGGTGGAGGCGGGAGGGTCGAGAAGTTCGTGATCCTCTTTGGCTACACAGTGAGTTTAAGGTCACCCTGGGTTACAATGAGACCCTGTCTCAAAATAAAATAAAATAAACCCAGTGGCTGGAGAGATGGCTCAGCTGTTAAGAGCACTAGCTGTTCTTGCAGAGGATCTGGGTTTGATTTCCAGCACCCATGTGGTGGTTCACATCACCTCTAACTCTAGTTCCGGGGCATATGATGCCCTCTTTTGGCTTCCATGGGCACCAGACATGCACACGGTGTACAGACATACATGCAGGCAAAACATCCATACATGTAAAATAAAAATAGATAAATTTTTACAAGAAATCTGTTGAAAAATTTGTTAGGAAATTAGTTCCAACCCAGCAACTTGAGTCATGAGAAATTTTTCCAGCTCAGCTTTTTTTTTTTTTTTTTTTTTTTTTTTTTTTTTTTTTTTTTTTTTACTCACTAGATTCAAGGAAGATTTTCTTCAGGGTGGTGAAGTTGGTGGACACTGTAGACTGGACAGTCATGCGTTGATGTCGGAAGGGCAGCGCAAAAGCCCCCTGCAGTCTTGGTAACGTGATTCTGCTCTCTAAAAATATGTCTCTGGAGGATTTGTGTTTGTTTTGGCATTTTTAGATCTTGGAAGGCACTCTAAAATGGAAAAGGTTACCTAATTTGTACAGACATGAGCTTCTGAGGAATGGTTGGGGGCAGATGAGTCCCTCGGTTTAATCAGAACTGAATAGTGGTTTATAAAATTTAAAAAGAAGCTATACAATTTGCTGTTTGTAAATGAAAGAAAAATCATTGGACATGAAGTATTATTAACTCACAATTTCTGTATGTGTTCTGGGAAGCACGTTTTATAAAGCGTACTACCCCTCCCCCAAGTACAGAGTCTGGCTAATGAAAAAGCGAGCCCACCCATGTAACTTCTGTTCAGCTTAAAAAGCAGAGCATTTTAGGCACTAGGCACCCCCACCTTCCTCTCTCTGAGCCAGATGCCGCCCCAACTTTTACCATCATTGATGAGATTTTGAGCTTTAAAAGTTTTTATTTTTAAACGGTTTAAGGCTCATGGAAATCTAAACATAGTGCAAGAGTTCCCATCGTCCCATCGCTCCAGCTTCCTGGAGTGATAATGTCTCATTTAACCACAGCACGATTACCAAAGCCAGGAAATTGTCACTGATACAGTCTTATTAACCACACATACGTGGGCTTCTCCCGCGCTTACATTTGCACTCCCCCCCCCCAAATGTGTACTTTAGAAAATTTATATCCCATGTCTAGAGACATGTGACCACCACCCTCGTTAAGAGGCAAAATCCTCTGCCATCCACAAAAGCTCATGCATTTCCCTTAGGATCGTTTGGGCTACTCTTATGTAAAGTTGATTTCTCAGGTCATTCATACTGAGCAAAATGGCAGTATGGTAGTTGTCAGTTTGCTTGGACATTTTTCTGGGGAATTAGCAAACTGTTACAAATAGATGCTTCTTCCATTCTGCAAGGCATTTTCATTCCTACTTCATTTTGATATCTGATTCTATATTGCAGTTCCTCAGGGTATAATTATATTATTTGTTGTGGGGTAACGCATTATTCTAAGATATACTCTAGGGCATAGTTATATTTATTGTTTACTGCTGTTACAAATTACCCTGAAATAAAGTGGATGACATTTAGTGTTTCACCCCGTTCTGATGTCAGAGTGGGAGCAGCCCAGCAGAGCCTTGTGAGGCCGCAGTCAAGCTGTCGTGGGTGAGACTATCACCATCTCTAAGCCCAGCTAGGCCTCAAAACCTGACTTCCAAGCTCACCCAGGCTGTTCTCGGAGTCTAGGTTTCTGTCTGACTCTGGGCTGGAGGATTCAGTTTTCCCTCTATGGGTCTCTTGGTAGTGCTACTCACACACAGCATGGCAGCCAGCTTCCTCCAGAGCACATGTCTTCCTTGGAAGCTGCAGTGTTGCGTAACCTAACTTCAGAAGTGACACACTACTGTGTTCTGTTGGTTAGAAGTAAGCCATTGAGCTATGACCATATTCGGGGATTGGGGGGCATGAATTTCCATTTCTTTTCTTTCTTTGTCATCTTTTCAAAAAATAATTTATTTAGCTTATTTATTTTATGTACATTGGTGTGAAGGTGTCAGATTCTCTGGAACTGGAGCTATAGACAGTTGTGAGCTGCCATGTGGGTGCTGGGAATTGAACCCAGGTCCTCTGGAAGAGCAGCCAGCATTCTTAACCACTAAGTCATCTCTCCAGCCCTTCTTTCTTCTTCTTAAAAAAAGTTTTTTTTTTGTTTTTTGTTTTTAAATAATAACCCAGTATGACCTGGAGCTTGTGGTCCTCCTGCCTCAGCTTTCCAAGTGCTGGGATTATAGGTACATGGTATCATATTTATCACTTCCACCTTTTGAAGGGGAAGTAATAAGGAACTCTTGTGGCTGGGGAGGCAGCTTAGTGGGTTAAGTGCTTGCTGCTGAAGCATGAGACCCTGAGTTCTAATCCTCAGCACCCACATAAAACACCCAGGCACAGTGGTGCACATCTGTAACCTTGATGGCTCACTGTCCGGTCAGTCTCGCTGAACTTGCAAGGTCCAGGTTCGGACAGAGACCCTGCCTAAAAGCAATAAGGCGGAGAAGTGGTTGAAGAAGCCATCCTGGCATCAGCCTCTGACCTCTGTGTGATGCAGGGAGAGAGCTTATTTGTATACAAGAAGGGAAGGAGAGACAGGAAAAGGGGAGGGAGGGACAGAGGCTCATGAATGGGTTCTAAATGATTCTGTTTGATATATTTCACATGAGTTCCGATCTCACAGCGGGCTGCTGGTGACCTTTAGTTAGTTAGACATTCTTCTTCACATGCTGGTGTTTGTCATTTATTTGGATGAAAATTGTACTTGTGGCTCCCACAGATGTTTCTCAATCTTCAGGGAAGCTTTCTTGCCTTCTACCTGTCTGCGGCTCTAGATGGTCTTGGAATATGATCTGTCTCAGAATCCAAGATGTCTACCATGCAAGTTTCTAATGTCTACACATCTTTTCCTTTAAGCCCCTAAATGACAGGACACCTTGTTGAATCTCTATTAATCCATCAGTCTTTTTCATTTTGTGGTGGCTTCCCAATTGAACTGTCTTATGAGTCAGGCTGAATTTCGAAAGCGTTTTTGTTCCTGTCTCAACATTAAAGTTAATGTCAGAGTCTGTAATGTCAGCAAATTAGGGAAGGTACTCCGTAGGACCGCTTTATACTGGAAATAAAATCTGCCTCAGGGGCAGGTTCCAGGCTATGGTGTTGCAACAGGACATTTGGAAGAATCACTTTCAAATTATGTCACAATTCACAATTCCAGGTTTGCTGAACTGCAAGGCTACACTCAGCTCAATTTCAGGCCTATAGAAGATGCTAAATGTGACATCGTTGTTGAAAAACCAACATATTTCATGAAACTGGATGCAGGTGAGAAGTCACTTTGTATGTTACTTGTGTATTGATTGGTGCATCTATTTTTTAAGAAAAGGATATGTTTGTTTTTATTTTATGTGTATGGGTGTTTTGCCGGCATGTGTGTCTGTGCTCCACATTCATGCAGTGCCTGTGGAGGCCAGTAGAGGGCGTCGGATCCTGAGGAACCAGAGTTTCCCATAGTTGTGAGCTACCCTGTCGGTGAGAAGAACTAACCCAGGTCCTCAGCTAGAGTGGCCAGTGCTCTCAGTCACCGCTCTGTCTCGTCAGCCCCACATCTGTTTGTGGACATGCTTATAGTGGTTTTCTGTGAATTTGTTGAAAGCAGTGTGATAAATACTGACTCTTCCTCTTCTAACCTAGACGGTTTCAACTTCCTATTATCTTACACCGTTGGTATTCTAGAAGAAACTGTCACATTTATGTGAAATAATTCCATCAAAAATCAAAGTGAAAGAAAGTGGCCCGTGTATACTTTTTGTAACAGAATTTACCTTGTCTGATTTCTCTAATCACTTTCATTACATGTATGTTTCACTATACATACATATGTATGTACATATATATTTATATTTATATTAGCAGCCACAGGTATACTGTAAATGAGAAAGAAATGCCCATCCCTTCTCATGGCCTACTTTCTATAACCAAATGAACTTGAAACTCTTTTGGAAGTTACCACTGCGGTATATTCTTGAAAAAAAAAATTAGAATTGTTTTCCCATCATGCCTTCAGCGCTAGGTCTTGGCCTGCAAGCATAACTTTAACTCTGGCAATTAGCGGCCCTGGAGAGGAGAGACACAGCACATGTTATATTATCCCTCTCATTATGAGAGATGGAGATTACAGGGCTATGTCCTATCAAAATTCATGAGTGGCCTGGCCTCCAGTGAAATACAGAGAGCCCTCTGTCACGAATACTTGAGAATTACCATAATTTATTGATCATAGTTTTAATGTGCTCTGCCATCTCAAGTCATAATTCTTATATTACAAAGTATTAGACTCAGAAATCAGACAAGTTTGGCTTTTTGAAATAAAGGCAAATTTAAAATGCTTTGTTCAAGGTTCTGACTTGTTTTTTTTTAAATATGCAAATGAAAAAGTGGCAGAGGAAACCCGTGATCTTCCTGTAAAAGAGTTGTGTGTGAAGCATGAAATTTATGCAGATCATATGCAATAAAATATGTATGCAGATTATGTGCAATAAAGTATGTAAAGTGGAAAAGAATGGGCTGAGATAGATGTATGCCATTGCCTTCCTGTATTTGTTACTCAGCCGCCTTTCCCTCTAACTTATGCCATCATCCAGTTTTCTTTTGCGTCCTAACTCTTACTTTAGGACAAGGAACATCGTAACGAAACTTGGGTAAGCCTCACTTCTCCAGCTTGCAGCCTGTATTCACTTCCCCATTTTAAATCCTCATGACACCAGGCACTGTCACGTGCACACTGCATGCCGGAGTAAATGTTAGGGACAGCTATGGTAAGCTGTAGTGTCCACCGAGGGAAAGGGGACATTCACTAACGCAAGCTTTCCTTGTGAATTTGAAAATGGGCTCTTGGCTAAGATTTTTCTGAGTCACGAAATGATTTCTTCCAGGCGGGGATGGCAAGATGGCTGAATGGGTAAAGGCACTTGCCGCCAAGTGTGACCACCTCACTCTGATCCCTGGGGCACATATAGTGAAAGGGGAGAGCCAGCTCCCGCCAGTTGTCCTCTGATTCTATACACACACAAATAAATAAATAAATAAATGAATGAATGAATGAATGAATGAATGAATGAATGAATGTAAAACTGTTCACCAAGGAAGCTATTTCCACAGACTGGAGTGTCTAAGTGTCTACTCCTCTTACTTCCCGGCAGGCACTCTGTATTATAATTTACTGTGGGAATGAAGTCAGGGTATTTCATGGTTTCTGCCTTTGAGAATTACTGATTTTCATTCAAAGGTTGGTTTGAAAATGTGTATTTTATTTGTTATTTCATAGGAAGTCATTCCATTTATATTTGTACAATTTCTAGGCTGACTCTTGGGTCCCGTGTGCCTTTTCTTTTCTTCCTTCCTTCCTTCCTTCCTTCCTTCCTTCCTTCCTTCCTTCCTTCCTTCCGTTCTTCCTTTCTTCCTTCCTTTCTTTCTTTCTTTCTTTCTTTCTTTCTTTCTTTCTTTCTTTCTTTCTTTCTTTCTTTCTTTCTTTTCTCTCTCTCTCTCTCTCTCTCTCTCTCTCTCTCTCTCTCTCTCTCTCCTCCTTCCTTCCTTTAATTCTTTCCTTCTCCTTCTCCTCTTCCTCCTCCTTCTTCATTGTTTTCTGAGACAGAGTTTCTCTGTGTAGTCCTGACTGTCCTGGAACTCACTCCATAGACCAGGCTGGCCTTGAACTCTGAGATCCGCCTGCCTCTGCCTCCAGAGGGCTGGGATTAAAGACGTGTGCCACTCACATGACAGCTCTTGATGATCTGTGACTCCAGCGTCCTCTTCTGGCCTCCAAGGGTACCAGGCAAGCATGTGGTGCACAGACATACTTGCCGGCAAAACACTCATACACAAAAAACTTTTAAGAAGAATAATATAAGAAGTGATTAAATAGAGAAAAACAGACAAGAATTTTTAAAAACCACCGCAGTGGTAGTGGTTGTGATTATTGCCCGTACTTCTGTGTACAGGTGTTGTTTGGTTGATTTAAAACAAACAAAATGAACAATTGGAAGGAATGATTAGTCATCACGGCTGGACAGCTCCTCGTGCGGCATTAAATAGACCTGTGTGGTTCCCCCACCCCCACCCCGGGAACGTAATGCTCTCTTATGATTTGATGTGTAGGAGAAAAATGCATTTCTGATTTCAAAATAATCAATTTTAAAAGTAAGATTTTTGAACTCAATACTCCTTCAAGTTGACAAGTACTGATGTCTAGCCCATATTTATGAGAAATATGTTTCCTCATTGATTTTTAACTAGAAATTAAAAAATAAAAAAACTGTAAGCAGAGAGAATGGAAAAAAAAATTGTTCTGCTGTGCATTATTCTCTTGTTTAACGTGGCTCCCTCTTTCCTGACACTAGGTGTTAACATGTATCACCACTTCTGTGATTTCCTCAATCTCTACATCACCCAGCACGTTAACAATTCCTTCAGTACAGACGTGTACATCGTAATGTGGGACACCGTAAGTAAGCGCCTGCTCTCTCCTTTGCACTGGCTCGATCTTGCTCTTCCACCATGTGCCTCTGACCTTGTGTGACCCTTCTAAGATGCATGCTTAAGTATATGCCTACCCATCCATAGACTCACACATGTCTAGATGTGTTCAAATGTGTTTCTGTGGCTCCCCTGACATATACATATGCACACTGGCAGACACATATGGATGTGCAGTCCTTTGTTGCTGTTAATGTTTTGTTGGATTTTGATTTTATTCAAGGCAGGGTCTCATGTAGCCCAGGCTGACCTTGAATTGACTATATAGCTGAGGATGACCCTTTGCTCCTCTTGCATCCACTTCCAGATTGCTCGGATTACAATTTTAGTGCTGGGGATTGAACTCGGGGCTTCATGCCAACTGAGCCACATCCTGTCCCATAGATATGTGTGATCCTAAGTGCTTCGAATTTCAGAATGAAGTAGTGGAGAATTTCCTTCCTTTCAGCATGGATAGAGTTCTCAAATGCAGAGTTCTAGTGTCTGCCTCAGTGCTCCTCCAAGACATGAAGCCTTTGTGACTCAAGGTGGTAGCGCTTCTGTTTACCTTGCCCTTTTGACTACCCCTCCCCCTCAACTCTGGAGATGGAACCCAGAGCCTCATGCATGCTAAGCAAAAGCAGGCACTCCAGCCCCTATCTTTTGCTTAATAGCAGTTTTCCGGCCGCAGGCAGCTTCATACTAAGTGGCCTGTTTTTTAGCTCACTATCTACGGTGAATCTTACACAGGTATCTAAATCGGAAGCAATGTTGTCTGGCGTGCACCATCTGCGTTTCCAGAGAGCAAAGCACACCAGCCGATTCATAGATAGTTCTGCAGACAAGGAAAAAAAAAAGCATTCGCTGACCCTACTTCCTAGACAGTAAGCTTACAGTACAGTTGTCGCCATAGCTATCTCACGGAACTCTGGGATGACTTCAAGTCCTTGGAAAACTGGTTCCGCATTCCTGGCATGCCTTTGCTTTCTTTATCTCTCGCTCCACACGCACTTCCCTTTCCGTCTTGAGTCCAGTTTTACCGCCACTTCAGGCTCATTTGTTGGCAGTGTTTCTGTGAGCACTGTGTCCTTCTCGTTCCTTCTTTTTGCTTAAGTGGGCTACATCGCTCAGTAAAACATTTCTCAGCAATTCTGCAAGACTTAAAAAAAACAAATAAAGCCCTTAAGAAGAAATCACATCCATACAGTGAGGGATTTGGATCAGGATTTTTATTAGTGTATTTTACAGATAGGTGAGTGTTCTAAGGTAACCTAGTGAGGGCTGGAGCCGAGGATTCCAGCTGGGCTCAGAAGACACTTTCTGTATAGTCCTCTGAAGAACTTGTGAGGTAAAGAAAAACTTATCACATGCCTTCTAGAAGCTTTTTCGTAGCATCTTCCATGCCTGTTTACATCTTCCTTAAGTGGACTGAGTTAAAGCGAGCTAGCTTCTAAACATCCTGCCTGTTGGGTGTCTGCTGGGGAAGAACAGGGTTCATGGGTACTATTAAGATCCCTGCCAACAAGACACATGATTTTCCGGTAGTAGGACTGTCATTCCGTTGGTATAAGTGGCATGTATGTAGGTGAGCAATGTGGTTGGCTTCCCTGGTGTTACCCTGTCCTTTGCTGGTCCTCTAGCTTCTCCCTTATAAACCTCCCCTATAGGCGGACTTTTCTGTCCCACCAGTCAGTTTCCAAATAACTATACAGAGACTTATTATTAATTATAAATGCCCAGCCAATAGCTCAGGCTTGTTACTAGCTAACTCTTACATTTTAAATTAACCCATATTTCTTGTTTTTGTTTTTTTTTTTTCGTTTTTCGAGACAGGGTTTCTCTGTGTAGCTTTGCGCCTTTCCTGGGACTCGCTTGGTAGCCCAGGCTGGCCTCGAACTCACAGAGATCCGCCTGGCTCTGCCTCCTGAGTGCTGGGATTAAAGGCGTGCGCCACCAACGCCCGGCCTAACCCATATTTCTTATCTACGCTATGCCACATGGCTCGGTACCTTTTCTCAGTGCAGCAAGTTCATCTCCTGCTTCCTCTGCATTGCCTTGCGACTCCCAAGACCTCTCTTCCCCTTCTTCTTTACATTCTCTTTTTTGTCTGCAAGTCCTGCCTAACCTCTACCTGTCCAGCTATTGGCCAGTCAGTTTCTATACTAACCCAGTCACAGTGACATATATTAACATAGTGTAAAGGGATATTCCATACTCCCCTCTTGGTCAAAGAAGTCCTTGCTAACTTCCCAGTCAAGTTCTTCATACGAGCTGCTCTGCTCAGTCACTCCAGAATCCAGTGCATAAAAGCCTGTGGGTTGCCTGGGGAGAGTACAACATGACGGTATTGTTCACAGTTAAGTTTTTGTTAGCAAAGCCTTAAGTCAGTGGTTCTCAAGCTGGGGTTCATGACCCCTTTGAGGGTCAAATGACCCTTTCACAGGGGTCACCTAAGACCACTGAAAAACACAGATATTTATGTTATGATTCATAACAGCAAAATTACAGTTATGACGAAGCAATGGAAATAATTTTATGGGTGAGGGTCACAACAACCTGAGGAACTGTGTTAAAGGGTCACAGCATTAAGAAGGTTGAGAGCCACTGCCTAAAGTTAACCAACACTGGTACTGCCACAGTGGGTCCCGAGGACCTAGGCCGTTAAGATGTTACTTCCCAGAGCTCAGCACTGTGACTGTCCCCTTTAGGCACCCGGCTCCTGGGCAAAGCTGTCAGCCTCCTCAATCATTTAAGGCCACTTCTGATGTTGAGGATTTGGAACATTTTTACTATTACTTTTTAATTATAGGACTAATAACTCATTATCATGAGGTTAGACATTACGGAAGCATGGGAGGTTTTCTTTTAGTCTCTTCTGCGCCCTCCAATTTCATTGTCTCCCTGGGGGGCAGGGGGAAGCAGTTAGCATATGTGTAAGTCCCTTCAAGACTTTTTGTCTGAATAAATATAAATATGTCCTTAAGCAAAAAATTATCAGAATTTGTATAAAGATCTCTATGCATATCATTTGTATAAAGATTTATTTATATCATTATATAAAATATGCTCTGAGGGCATCTTTCCATGTCCTTTTTGGAGTGGTGGCAGCATTTTTCCATTTGATGGATTTCCTGCATGTGTTCGTCTCTCTTCACCCCACACTTCATTTGTTTCTGATTCTGAGCTATCTCCTGGATGCTATAAATGTCTTTTCCATATGCAGTATTCTCCCTGTATCTATGGGGGATTACTGCCAAGGTCCACTCTGGACACCCAAATCCTTAGATGCTCAAGTCCTCTGTGTTAAGTGGTATAGAATTGCATGTGACCATGCATATCCTGCTAGATGCTCCGAAGCTGCCTCTAGGTTGCTTACATACCCCAGTGCATGCAAACAGTTGTTATACTACAGTGGTAAAGAGAAAAGGTTTGTATATATTCAATAAAGACACAGTTACTTTTCTGAATATTTTCTACCAGTGTGTGTGAACCATCAGATCCAGAGGGCTGACTGTGTCCTTCTCTTCACACTCACCCTTATTACTCCTGTGGGCAGAGTCCTACAGTAGTGTTTCTGAGGCTCTGGGCATGTTCAAATTTGAGATCTGCACAGGAGGATTTTCTGGTTTGTTTATTTGTTTGTTTGTTTTTTCCCCTTGAGGAGTACCCAGGTATTCTTCAGTGTGAGGTGGGAAGTTGCCCCTCCCACCACTGTGCTAGATAATTTGAATTTGTTTCTAGATGTGGTTATTCTCAAGTAATTCACAAGTTCCCTGGGAAGAGGCCAGTCAGAATCACTCTATTTTATTATTAAAATTCCTTTCAGACGTACCTTATTTTATCTAGAGTATTTTGTCTCAAGAACCTGTATAAAATTACAGCTTTTAATTGCTCTTTATTTATTATTGAGCAACAGCACAACAGTTTGATTGTGGATGGTCATGAAGGGCTTTATTGGACTGTTGCTGGAGAAATCACTTCTGCGTCACCATATCTAATATCTCCATACCTTTGAAATATCTACACTAGAGGAAGCATAAACGTTTCAAAATCTTAAAAAAAGAAAAGGATTCTATAAACACAAAGAGACGTAGCATAATGGACAAGTGACTGCAGACTCTGGAGTCCCCTGACTTGACCCTTCTCCGTCCCTTGGCTGAGCTCTTCACTTTAAGTCACACCATTTTAAATGGACCAAGCCCCTCCCTTTACCCGGTAGAGCTCATAATTAACTTCTGTCTTCCAGGAAGGAGATGCATTTGGTAAATTCACTAGGACAGGTTCCCACTGAGAAGCAGCTGTCCTGGAGTAGATGAGCATGAAGTCTGAGACCATAGACTAGGTTTGACCACAGCCCTGCAACTCACTAGCTCTGCAATTTGGGCAAACTCTTTGAATTTATATACGGTTTCCTCGTGTATAAAATGAGGCTGAGGACATCAGCTTGCCCATTAGAGTTGCAGGGTTGTTTGCTGAATTAATAGTCTATAGTGCTTAGAACAATGCCTGGAATGTGGGAAGCAACCCAGATACTGTTAGTATTATATGTTGTATAAATGTGATGTTACTAGTGACATTATTAATGTGAATGGGGTATTGTCACGTTATTCATTATTCAATGGGGAGAATATTCATTTAGTGTTTAAGCTTTCAAGCCATTTGCTTTGAAATTTCTTTCCAAATGCAATCTACTTACTATAACGGATTTTGCTCAGTGAGCATATTATTGTGTGTATAAATGATGTCATATGTATGTGTCCTCTTAAGCACCTGCTGGTGACACTAACTTGTTGTTTCTGCCTTCAGAGCTCTTATGGATATGGTGACCTGTTCTCCGATACCTGGAAAGCATTTACTGATTATGACGTCATACATTTGAAAGCCTATGATTCCAAAAAGGTACTGGAAACCTATTGAAATGTCTTTAAGTAACTGTCAGGTCCAAGTGACTCATATAATAAATATTTAATTTGAATTTCTCTTGGCTGTTACCATTGATTTCTGGCTTCTCTCTTTTTTTTTATTATCATTATAGCTAGACTTCTTGGAAATAAACCTTCAATCCCTCTTTCTATAAACTTTCCGAAAATATGAATTTTATTTTCTTTGACATAGTTTGCTAGTTAGACTATTTTGGTAGAAGATGGAAAAGAGTTAGAATTTACTTTCTAAATGAGGACTGCTATTTTGGCGTGAAGGGTGTACACTTACCGTGGTGTCCTGTGAAGGGGCACACTTACCGTGCTGTCCCTTGAAGGATGCACACTTACTGTGCTGTCCTGTGAAGGGGCACACTTACCATGCTGTCCCGTGAAGGGGTACACTTACTGTGCTGTCCTGTGAAGGATGCACACTTACCGTGCTGTCCTGTGAAGGGGCATACTTACCGCGCTGTCCCATGAAGGGGCACACTTACTGTGCTGTCCCGTGAAGGATGCACACTCACCGTGCTGTCCTGTGAAGGGGGCACACTTAGCGTGCTGTCCCGTGAAGGATGCACACTTAGCGTGCTGTCCCGTGAAGGTGCACACTTACCGTGCTGTCCCGTGAAGGTGCACACTCACCGTGCTGTCCTGTGAAGGGGGCACACTTAGCGTGCTGTCCCGTGAAGGATGCACACTTAGCGTGCTGTCCCGTGAAGGTGCACACTTACCGTGCTGTCCCGTGAAGGTGCACACTCACCGTGCTGTCTTCTAAACTATCTTCCTTTTTAGGTGTGCTTTAAAGAAGCCGTGTTCTCGTTGCTGCCCCGCATGCGGTACGGGCTGTTCTATAACACGCCTCTGGTAAGCATCTAAGATGACCGTCCTACGTTTTCAGAGATCATCTGAAACCCCAGGGCAGGAGCATTCGCTGTAACGTGACCCGCTTTTGTTTCAGATCTCTGGCTGTCAGAATACTGGGTTATTCAGGGCCTTCTCCGAGCATGTGCTGCATAGGCTGAACATCACTCAGGAGGGACCCAAGGTAATGGATGTGCTTTGGTTCTGAGTAGGCTTGGTTATTCATCTCTAATCAATGCCACCTTTGGAGAGAAACACATAACCAAGAGGCAGTGTTCGCTATGGTAATGTTGTCTGATCTGGAGTCCTCTGAATTCAGGAGTCAGTAGCCACTGAAAATAAGCTAAAGGGTACTGTAAGAATATGTGTTAGTCTCCTTGTCTTTGTCTATTTCTTTGCCTATATCTCCCTACCTTCTCCCATTTAATTCTTGTAATCCCTGCCCAAAACAATCTACTCTGCCACCATCAACCAAGTAATAGTGTAATGAGCAGGTTTTGTCTTCCATGGCTAAAGTGGATACACTTAGGTCTACTCATAATTGACACATAATTGTGCACATTCCTAGGGTGCAGTGTTATACTTTGACACAATGTAATTATCAAAGCACTTGTGTTACCTCAAGCATCAATCTTTGTTGTGGTAACATTCCATTCTTTTCTCCTCGCTTTTTGGAAATAGAAAATACCTTACTGTTAAGCCTAGTAACTCTACAGGGGCATCGACACAGACCTCGAATCTCCAGTATCTGTAATGTGTCTCTAGTAACCACTCCATCTGTTTCCTTCCTTCCCTCCTTCCCAGTGTCCACTACCCACCAGTCTATTCTCTACTTCTCTGGTATTCTCCATTATTCTGTTGTATACATTTATGACATCAGCTCTTTTAGCTTCTGCATCTGAGGGAGAGCATGCAGTATTTGTCTTTGTGTACCTGACTCACGTTAACATAATGCCTTCCATTTCCCTCCATGCTGCAAAATCCTGTCGGTTTTTATCCCTTTGTATAGTCGAGTAACATTCCTGAGATAATGGTTAAGAAGTCAGGCTAATAGTCACCATTCTCCAAGTATATCTTCAGTGACTTTCCCCTCTCTGGGAAATTGCATTTGAGATTTGGGGTTCATTTTATTATTATTATTATTATTATTATTATTATTATTATTATTATTATTATTTTATTATTTTATTATTATTATTTTTTTTGCCTGAGCACATCTAAGACTATTCTAACTTTTCATTTTGATCGCAGGATGGGAAAGTTCGAGTTACCGTTCTTGCACGCAGCACAGAATACCGGAAAATACTGAACCAAAATGAGGTTAGTGTTTTGGTATGAACTTTTAATATTATCATAATGACTCTGCCTTCCATGGCTAATATACTATGTTTTTTCGTATTGCATTAAACGTCTTTATTTGAAATGATTGGTTTCTAGAGATACATAATGGTCGATGCTTACTGCAACTACTGTCGTTAGCATCTCCAAACTCCCATCCCATCCAGATCTACTTTATTGTAAGTGTACACCTGCACCAGCTCTATGTAGAACACAGGCAAAACCAAAGCCAAACAAAACTGTGAGTCCTGTCTGGGCTGTAGCAGGAGGCTGAACATTCTTCTTCCAGGCAAACTAGTAACAACATGCAAACATGCCTTTTAGGAGATGACTGATATCATTTGGTGTTTCTGTAGCATCCGACAACACATACAATTGGAAGAGATTCCATCCATTTGAATGGCTGAACATCTTGGAAACTGCTCCTGGGCATCTACTTCATTTTGGCAGCACAAGATCATAAATAGAATCTGGTCTCATACTGGGCAGATAATCAAGGGAGTCTGGACCTAAGACTGTTCTTCACTGTTGTTCCACTGTGAACCAAGAAGAGGTTGAGTGTACCTGTGAGCCTGGGCCATCAGGAAAGGGCAGGTCAGGGAACATCATCGAGCCAGTGAGAAGGAAGTTCAGGGAAGGCACAGTGCCAGCACCTGCTGTGATGCTGGCCTGATACTTTCAGACTCTATGGGCAGATTGCACAAATGTTTTGAGATGAGATTAGTAATTCAGCTCCCAATGGCAAGCTCAAGAGTACCCAGCATGCTGCTCTTCCTCTAAGACAGGTTATGGATTCCAAAGGGTATGCATGACTTGGGCAACAGTACATTGACCACACTGATTAGTGAATAGAGAAGAAGACTCAGGAGTGTGTGGAGCCCAGGCTGACCTTGAACCCACTATGTAGGCTTGGCTGGTCTTGAACTCACAATCCTGCTGCCTCAGTCTCATAAGTGCTAGGAGAACAGCCTGTCTCCCAGGTGGTCTGGTTAAATGATGGTTACTGCAAACTTGCCCCACAAGTTTTGTTGAGATAATCTTGTGTGGTCGGAAATTGGAGAAAGGACTCATTCCAGGACTCTCAGACACTTGGAATTCCTTTGATGTGAGTCCACCTCATTAAATGACTAAATCTCATGCTACCTAATTAATTCTTTCCTGGAAAAAAAAAAGTGATTGTTTGTAGAGGGAAACATCCATCTTGTGACTGCATGTGTGTTGTGCAATTGTGCATACATGTGTATAAAATGGAGTCACTAATTAGATTGCATCCAAAGATTCATATGTACTGCTTAAGAACAGAGAGTGTGGTGAGAAGAGCAGGATTTGGTTCCTCCCTCCCTTCCTCTCTCCCCTTCTCTCTCTCCATCTGTGCCAGGGATTGAACCAAGGGCCTTCTTCATCTTGGACAGACTCCCTACAACTACTTCTACTTCCTGCCCAGATCAATGCTTTCTGTGACTATTGATAGTTGCTATTGCTGTGTAGGACCACCTAGTAGAGATGCAAACCATCACACTGTCAGGTTACAGAGCCATGAGGGATGTGCAGAATCAGGATGTTCTCTGATAGCGTATTCCTTGTCCTCTGTTACTTTCTGTCTGCCAGAATGATAGTCAAAGGAGATTTTAGAAATGACATAGAAATAGCAGGGTTTTTTTCTGCCAATACTTCAGTATTTCCAGAGGATGGAGCCTAAACTTGTTATGGTTTGTTTGAAATGAGACATTGGATGGAAAGAACCATCTCAGCATAGTGTCTGAAGCATTGTGTATTAGTTTTTATGCAGCGCTGTGTTACTCATTAAGCGGCGCTGTTTACTAGGCAAGAAAAGCCACGAGGCACAACAAAACCCACTATAAGAGTTTATTAGGGGAAGGAGAACAGAGGAGAGTGCTTAGGCCTATTGAAGATCGTGCAGGGAGAGAGAGAGAAGGGATAAGATGGAACCCACTTTTTATAGGCTCCCCCTGTACATGCACATATGGGTTTACAAAGCTATGCCACACATCCACATAGATTGCATGATCACGCTGCATGCAAATTATGTGATCATGAAGCGCGTGGATTATGTAGGACATAAGGCCCTAGGATGACTAAGCTTCTTGCTTGGCTACTGGATGGCGAATGTGCGGTCATGTAGCTGGGGGAGGGGCCAGGAATTCCAACATTGTGTCACCTCATCCTCAAAGTACCCAGTTGCTCTGAAGTTATAGGGAAATAGGGTGATGAATTCAAGAGATAGGCTCAACATTTGAATTTAAATGAGGTCTAAAATAATAGACATAAATGATGTTTAATGCATACAAATTTTTATCTGCAAAAAGTTAATAAATTTTAGGAGATGAGAAGATGGCACAGTGGGTAAAGCGAGTGCCATACGAGCATGAAAACCTGAGCTTTTACCCTCAGAACCCATATATACAAGATCCAGGCCTAGGGACTGGAGAGATGGCTCAGTGGTTAAGAGGGCTGATGTAAAAGCCAGGCATGGCTGTATGTGCCTAAAACCCCAATGTTGGGGAACCGCAACATGCAGATGCCAGGAGCTCACTTTCCAGCCAGCTGAGCCAAAACAGTGAGTTTCTAGTTCAGTGGGAGATCCTGTCTCAGAATGTTAAAGAGGAGAAGGGTCTAGAAAAAATGGCTCAGTTGATAAAGTACCTGCTATGCAGGCATAAGGACCTGAGTTTGGATCCCAAGAACCCATGTACAAAAGCCAAGAGTGGTGGCATTCTCCACCATGGCACCCAGAGGCGGGGTGAGCAGCAGGGACAGATGGGTGCCCAAAGCTCACTGACTGACCAGTCTAAATTGGTGAGACAGGGAGAGAACCTGTCTCAGGAAACAAAGTTGAAGAATCATGAAGGAGCAACACCTGTTGTTGCTCTTGGGCCTCCAAATACGTACACACCTGCAGGCACACGTTCACACATCCACACTGACATGTGTGACACACACTACACAAGTTAAAAAAAAACAGCAATGTAGAAAGTGATGGAGGAAGGCATCGATGTCCTCTGACTTCTGTTATGTATGAAGACAGGTGAATGCACTTTCATATGTGCACACACACACACATGCATGTACACACACATGCGTGTACACACACACATACACACACACACACACACACACACACACACACACACACACACACACACACACGGCAGGTGTGGCTGGCTCCAGGGCAAATGAAGTGCATAGTATTTTTGTGGAGCAACATGTGAGGCTGTCCTCTGTACACATGGGCACTGTATGAACACAGAACACAGACACAAACAAAACAAATTTTAATTAAAAAACAAACTTTAGGATTTATAAGGGAAAGTAGAAAAGAATAATTCTGTGTGTTCTTCTGTTTTTTTTTTTTTTTTTTTTCCAGCTGGTAAATGCACTGAAAACAGTATCCACATTTGAAGTCCAGATTGTTGATTACAAATACAGGTAAGCCTCGGCCCAGGCAGATGCTCTCACCTCTAGATTGAGCCCCTCACTGGTGGGCACGTAGCATTTTTGCAGTGGGCACTCTTGGCCCTTGCAGACCAAGAAGTGACACTCAGTCACTATCATTAAGCAAAACGGGAGTGACAGGGGACTCAGGTTCAGGAGGGCTGCTGAGCTTTCTGAGGTCTCCTGTTCAGGTACAATCTTATTTTTCTGGAGAAATAGTGAATCCAGATTTTCACTTCAAATTTCTGAATTTTTAAAAGTTAGCAGCTAGTATTAAATGTTAACATGCACACACATATATGCATATATCTACATATACAGATATATGCATACACACCTGTACACACACACACACACACACACACACACACACACACACACACACATACACACGGCTTAATTTACCCTGTTAGCTAATGGGTTTCAACTTTGAAGACCATTAACTAAAAAATCTTATAAAGTATTTATATTTCTTTTTAAATTTTGGTAGAACCAAAAGGCTTAGAAAGAGAACATGCTTCTCACTGCTGTCTAGCAATTCCTGTTGGTTTGAGAACAGTCACACTGTAAAACGCAGTATGTCCTCCAGGTAGAAAAAATCTAGCAGTGTAAGAAAGATTAAGAGGGGCTGGAGAGATGGTCAGTGGTTAAGATCACTTGTTACTCTTGCAGAAAACCTGGGTTTGGTTCCCAGCACCCACATGGGGGTGAACCAGCTGTTTACTCCAATTCCAAAGGTTCCAACGCCCCTTTCTGACCTCTGGGGGGCACCAAACACACATGGTGCACAGACATACGTGCTGGCCAAACACACACATTAAAAAAAATGAATAAATCTAATTTTAAAAATTCAAAAAGAAAGCCCCAAAGAAAAGCCACAAAAAGTGAAGTGTTCTCTCTGTTCCTCATCTTCCCATGATCACAATCCAAATTTATGACAGTTGATAGGATTTTTTTTCCTATAACACACACACACACACACACACACACACACACACACACACACACACACACCCTGGAGAGGGTACCTGCCATAGATGCACTTCCTGCAGCTACATAAGCTTGGGAGTGCTGTACCTCATTTATGAACTCCTACTTCCTAAGGGGATGAATCCTTAAGGATATGACTGTGCGCTGGCCACTGGACTTCAAAGCTGAGATCCAGGCTTGGTGGACAGTGTGCCTCTTGTGTTGAGGACCTCAGACACAGAGTGGAGAAGTGTGAAGCTGTGGGACAGCCCCTGCATTTTAAGGCTTGCTATTATGTTCCACTGGCCTTCGCTCACCTTACACCTGCAGCAATGCTCTGAGGATGTAACGCTCCCCTGTTCTACACAGTACACTGGGCTGTGGTGGCTTCTTCCATTGGCACACGAAGACATGTGTGGCCAAGACGGAGGCCTGGCATCAACCTGAAGGAGCCAGAGAGGCATCTCTGATGCTGGGCCGTTACCTGCTTTCTAGGCTGTCTGAACATTTTCCCGGTGAAGCAAGGAAAAGTAAATCCATACCTTGTCAGTCTATGGTGATCATTAATAGCTGATTAGCATTGGCATCTGTGACTTCTAGTCCAAGGTGGTTCTCCAGCTGGCAAGTCCAAGGGGTTTACCTGTGTTTACCTGAGCAAACACATCTGTCTTACCTTCCTTTTCTACTGCTGTGGTAAAAATACCTTGGCAAAAACAACCTAAGAAAGTAAAGTTCATTTGGCTCATGAGAGAGCAGTGAATTCATGCCTGCAGGCCAAAGCGCAGCTTACTCTCCTCTTTCCTTCAGTCCTGGGCCTGGCCATGAAATGGCACCACCCATATTAAGGGTGGGTCTTCCCACCACAATTAACCCAATTTAAAAAAAAAAAAACAAAAAACAAAAACCTCTCACAATCTACCTACGGGCCAACCCAATCTAGACAGTTCTTCATGGAGACGCCCTTTCTGTGTGATTCCCACAATGGGTCAAATTAGTCAGAATTAACTATCACACCGTCCTTACCTTGGCACCAGTTCACATTCCCTGGCAAACTGAGACAGCTTTTCCCAGTGTGAGACACACAGAAAGATTGTCTTCCTTCCTATTTCTTTGTTTCGTTTTTTGGATTTTTTTAAAAAGCTGATTTAAGAAAGAATTTTCTTCTCCTTCTTAGATCTTTATCAATCTGGACTTCAGGTACAGTGGGGCTGGGAGCACTTGTTCTTCTGTGACTGTTCAGTCCCCCCTCCCCCATATTCCAGTTCTAATTCCTTACTTCAGTACATTTCTGTGGACTGATTTTCAGTGGACATGTTTGCGTCTGCTGGTGTTACAGGCCGAGAGCAGAGTCTGCCGGGCTCTGAGGGGGCAAGAAGGGAGGCGGGGTGGGGGGGGGGGGTGAGGTATGCAGCGACTTTTATGGGTCGTTGACATACGCCTGTCTCTCTCAGTTTTGTAATGGGTTTTTGAGAGTGGGCTTCTTTGGCAGAACGAAGCACACGTAGGCTGAATGTTACCCGTGTCTTCTTTGCTGTTACCTTTCCTATGTTCATCTCCGGATCTCCCCCACCCCCCACATGGTTTCCGATGCTCGCACTCCACTGGTGTCTTGATTTTAAAAGAACAGCTGTGAAATCGTAGTCTCCTGCACAGACAGACTATGGCTGGTTGCATCCGAGACCATCTTAGGTTTGTGGCATCGAGTAACGTCACATCATTTATTCTCTTGTTTATGCTATTATTTTCCTTTATGTGTATGGGCGTTTTGCCTGCGTGCATGCCTGCACACTGCGTGTGTGCTGTGACTGAGGGGGCCAGGAGAGTGTCTCCAATCCCCTCGCATTGAAGTTAGAGATGGCTGTGAACTGCCCTGAGGTTGCTGAGAATTGAACTCAGACCCTCTGGAAGAGCCGTCAGTGCTCTCAACTGGTGAGCCGTCTCTCCAGCACCCCCATTCTCGTTTTTGAAAAGTTCTTTTATTACTTAATGGGAGTAGTTTTCAGCTTGGGCTATTCTGATGTCTCTTTAGCACTTGCTCGTTTTCCTTTTCCAGGAAGAGGGAAGAGCGGGGACTTCCCGCTAGCTCTGCGCTGCAGTATTATCTGCCCATTGGAATGGTACCTTTTATTCGAATTCTATCTATTTTTGTAATTATGTGGATATCATGTGTCATGACTTTTTTGATTAATGTTCCCTTGAAAGACAGACATAAAAGTTTGTGCTTAAAGACTGTGTTAAGTTATCAAAGAATGAATTAAGTTATTGAATACTGGAGCACACCTGACGTTGTCATCACAGCCCAGATGTGGAATGTGACACAGTGTATAAATACCGTCACAGTGGATCATGAACTCACTCACCCTTTGTCTCGCCTCTCTTGTGTTGTCCCATATTGCAGAGAACTTGCGTTTTTAGATCAGCTGAGGATCACACACAACACGGACATATTTATTGGCATGCACGGAGCTGGCCTTACCCACTTACTTTTCCTTCCAGACTGGGCTGCTGTATTCGAGCTGTGAGTACAGGTGGCAGCTTTCCATGGAGAGCTCACGAGCCAGGGTCGGAGCTAAGAGTTTCAATGTGGGCACTAGCTAGCCTCATATGCTCCCGTCAAGCTACATCATGGTGGTGTCTGGAAAGGAAAGCAACCTCACTCAGGCTAAAGGGTCTGAGGTCTGCCAGTGCTCTTAGGAAACAAGACACTCCCTCCTTCCCAGTAGCCTCAGTACCATTTGCAAGATGTGAGTCTGTGGTTTCCCAAGTTCCCAGAGTTTCCCAGAGTTCACTACTGTGTGCCTCTCACACTGTGAGCACTCCCCTCCCTGTGACCAGTATAATTACTATGCTGAAAGAAGAACCAGGCTGGGGTGGTGGGGATAGCAGAGGCACCGTCTGCAAAGGTGGATTGCTTACTCAGCATGTATGAGGCAGAGACGGGGATCCATAAGGAGACCATTGAAGGAAAGGTTGATACAAACTTCCAATACTCTGCACGACATTTTCGAGCTGTTAGTGAGGTAGGAGGTGATTGGGACTTCTGTCTTAATTCATTTGTCCTAGAGGAAGAGAGGGGCGGATGGAAGAAAGGAGAAAGGGCAGGGAATGCCAGTGAGATACTGGAGCCCAGGGGACCTGAGGTGGGATTTTGCTTCCTTCATTAAGTAGCTGTTTAACCTTGAATGTGTCACCTCCCTAACTCCATTTTCCACATATGTAAAGATAATATCTTATAAGATAGTCTCCAGCTCATAGGCAGGAGGACCTATTGAATAAGATGCCCACTCCTCGACCTTACTCTGTTCTTTAAAAGTTAAGGCAAGGCTCTGAGAATACTCATTTAAATTGTTTTTGCCGTGCTGGGGATGATACCCAGTGCCTTATGCATGCTACCACAGACCTCAGACCTATGTGTCCCAGCCCTGAGCATGTTTGTAAAATTATCTCTCTCTTTTTTGTTATTTACAAACCCTCTAGTAAGACCATATTTGGGGGATGGATTTCCCACCCTAGATTGTTACACATTGGGCAACCCCCTGGAAAAAAAGCCTCATGTTGTGACACCCCTGTGTCCTTAGGTACAACTGTGAAGATGAGCGCTGTTATTTAGACCTGGCCAGGCTCAGAGGCGTCCACTACATCACCTGGCGGAAGCCCAGCAAAGTGTTTCCTCAAGACAAGGTAACATTCAGTCAAATGGTTTGAAGTCCAGTTATTAAAATGAGAGCCATCACTGAGTCTCAAAGATACACTGTTCTTCTCTTGAATACTGAGGTGTGCTTTATATTTGTAAATTGGAGAAAACCTCCATATTGTTAAAACAGCTTACATCAGATTATGTATAGCAGCCGTCAGCAAACTGTAGCTCTATGGTACAATACAAATCTGGCCCACCAATTGTTTTTGTAAATAAAGTTTTATTGAGAGCAGCCACATTTGTCTGCATATTGTCTAGGCTTGCTTGTGTATTTCCTTGGCAGAGCATCTGTGACTGAGAACAGATGGTTGACAGTGCTGAAAACATTATTGGGACCTCTGTGGGAAAAGCTTGCCAGTCTCTGTTGAAAAGCATGAGTTAAAATAGTTGTCTTAGCCAAAGTAAAACGATTTCGTTTCTGTAGAGAAGACATATCCTCAGTGACTTCGGGAATGTGTTCTGGTTTGTCTCTGCAGGGACACCATCCAACTCTGGGTGAACACCCCAAGTTTACCAACTACTCTTTTGATGTAGAAGAATTCATGTACCTTGTCCTTCAGGCGGCAGAGCATGTACTGCGACATCCACAGTGGCCATTTAAGAAGAAACATGATGAACTGTAGAAATGTTGTTTGTTTACAAGAAGAGAGCGTTTAAACACTCTCACATCCAGACTCACAGTCAAAGGAGCAAAACAGCCTGCCATAGCCTCCTGTAAGATGAACTATGACTTTTGACTTTCGAATATAGCTCAGGCTGGCCTTGAACTAACGATCCTCCGAGCTTCCTGAGTGCTCAGATTACAGGTGTATACCACCGTGCCTGTCTACAAAATTACTTTTTCTATATGAAAACATACGTTCAGGATATTTTGTCTTTAAGTCTTCCATGTGTTTATTGTGTCGTTGCTATTTGCCGATAGCAATAGTATTTTTGCACTGAAAAAAGTTACTTTTATAGTTCAAAGTTGGGCCGGTGCCCATTGGTGTAACAGAGCTTTCCTGTCGGGATACCAAAGTTGTCAACTTAAGCAGCTTTAGAATTTATAAGTGTGTTTGTTGACTGTAATATGATTGTAATTCCAGAGTGTTCCACCTTGTTGTTTATGTACTTGGATGAACTCAAAACTGATTTTGTATTTGCCATTGTCTGTTTATAATTATGGTTCTAGGGCCTGGGGACATGGCTTAGTTTAGAATGCTGGCCTTGCATGTATGGGGCCCTGGGTTCAATCCCTAGCAACACACATGCTCAACACACATGCACATCCACACACCAGCATAAGTCTGTGATTCTCAGGACCAAGCTATAAGACTGTGTTATAGATCAGTGTTTAGTCAGCTCCAGGTTATGTGCACCAAGACCCTGAATAAATCAAGCTGTTGTATTAATTTGTGTTCACATATCTCATTCCAATCATGTTCTCCCCAAATGTAATGGCAGTGTTAAGAACCCATCAGACCATTCTACAGTACCATCTCTGCAGACCCAACAGCCATGAGAACATTTATGTTGACTTGACATGAAGTGGTAGTTAACATCAGGCAGGCATTTATAAGCACATACAGCTGTGTGCACCTACCTCTGGCAGGGGGAAAGTAACCCTAATATTTGTAAAAACTTCAAGGTGGCTACACGAAGAGACTCTTTGCCTATTAAAGAAAAAAGTAAGGCCATTGAAAAAATAGTAAAGCTGTGAATTACCCAATCAGAATGAAAAACCCTAAGAAAGTGGCCCTGAGTAAATGGGATGGCTGAAGAGCAGGCTTTTCCTTGAATGGCTTCATGTCTCCCTGTTGGTGAGCATCCAGCTCGGCAGTCAGAAACCATGGGTTTGCTCTACTGTACAGTGTGACGTTTGCATCTTACTAACATTTGAGTCACCTCACGTAGACGCTACTTTTAGTTTTTACAGTGGATTAAACAAATTGCCCCCCAAAGGATTTTATTTTTAAATTTTAGAGAAGTGACCCTCCCCCCCAAAAAAACCCCCAAATGTTGGTAACTGCACCTCCTCAGAAGTTTGCTGACTTTTGCTTTCAGGGCTTGGTAACAGAGTTGTACACTGTATTTATTAACATATCGTTAGAGAAAATAGTGGCGTGTGACAGGCAAGACTTCTGATGGGTTTTAAGATTGTTTGGAAAGAATTGTAACATTAGGAACTGTTAGGTGACGGGTGGCTCTTGTTCTCTGTGCAGAGTCCTAGGTGAGCAGCAGGCATGGGGGGTGTTCTGTAGGAAAGGGGTGGGAGGAGCATGTTGCCCAAGCCATCAAGGATAAACATCTGAAGACTGCCTCCGGAAAGCCGTTTCATCCTCTTACCTCATTTCAAGCAGCACAGGACCTAAGCTTCCACAGACTACCTGGGACTTCAGCGACCGAGAACAGTTTCATAGTAAAACATATCTGAAGATTTTGCATTTAGACAGAATATACTTTATATAAATAAGAAAGTCATTTAATTAATTAGTTATGGGACTTCTATCAAATTTTTTTTTTGTGGGAGCAGAAGGTCTTCAAATTGTTGTAAAATTTAAAATGTAGACATAGCTCTTTTTATTAAGTCTGTAAGGAGTTGCCTGGCTTTGGAATAAAGCTTTCTATATTTCATTTAAATATCCGAACGTCTTCAGGGTTTTCTGTGTCTGAATGTCACATCCTTTGCTTTAAAAAAAAATCTGATAGCTTGTACATGATTTAAAAAAGTAATTAGCTCACTGATGAAGGGTTCAGTGCAATCAAAAATTACCTTACATTTATTTAGCAGTTGTTTTATCTGATGCTTCCAAAAATGTGGCCCTGCACAAGCCTTACCAAAATGATGGGAGGATGGTGGCTCCTGATTTCAAGAGCAAGCCAGATGCTATTCAGTGATGTCCCTGAAGGTTCCAGGCCTTGTCATTCCACAGCCGGGTCTGCATTGCATTTGCTTGCCCATGCAGTCCACACCGAGCCAGCCACTACTGTGTACCAGTCACGCTTACAGCCTCTAGGAAGACAGCTTAGGTTCCAGGAACTTAGCTTCTGGTAGAGGAGATGGGCATTAAGCAATATTGATGTAGAAAAGCGCGGTGTTCCAGACCCTGGAACTGTTGTGGAGAAAGCCAAAGTAAGAAAGGGGTGTGGAGCCTGGCCTTGAGTGGACTTTTGCGTGCTTGAGTATAGGGTTCTCACTGAGGAGGTGACAGTTGAATCTAGAAGACTAGAAGGAGGCGGGGGGTGGAGGTTGGTTGACGATCTGACAAAGAGCTAACCAAAAATACACAACAGCAAGTACTAAATAAAGTTCCGAGGCAGAAGCATGTGTGTTGAGTTGGAGGAACAGCCCGTGTAGTTGGTGTGACAGAGGAGTCAGAGGTCACTTAAAGGATAACGCCACATGTTGATGGTAAGGCTCTTGTCTTTTCATTCTGAATGCATCTATACAAAGGAGTAAAGACCCGGCTTTCCCTTGGACAGGGTGACTCTTGATGTTATGCTGAGAGCAGGTAACAGGCAGATGTCTTAGGTCAAGTTCTCTGGATCACAGACTCTGGGATGAAGGGTCACAAGATGATGGTTTATTGTGTGTGGATTCTCATGGTCAACACAGGTGAGGAAGCATGGGGTCCAGAAAAGGCAGGGACTGGGCAGGGGGAGACATCACCTGGAGTTAAGTAGAAGGTCTTCAGGGACATGGTAGAACATAGGATCTTTCAGAGGAGTCCCAATAGAGGCAGGAGGTGTCACCATCCAGGTTGGAGCCATAGAGGAGGAGAATAGGAGAACCTTGACCAGGGCAATTCCTCCAGCTGGTGGACAGTTATTAGAAGAACACACTGCTGGGATCCGTCAGCGTTCCCCACAACCTGGAGGCTGAGAGCCTGTCTGAAGGCAAGACACACAGCGCAGCTGACACTCTCAGGGAGGGCAGTGTGTGGGCTCGTTCTATTCTCCCATCAACTTCCTGCCCACTGGAAGTTTGAGTTTAGAGTCTTCATTACATGCCAATTTCATTTTTATTTGTTTAAAAAGGAACTTGTATAGACAATATCATGAACTTCCAACTGTAGATTGTCAAGGGTAAGGATAGTTCTTATTTTAGGGGGTAATTTTTAGGGTAGGGGCCATACTGGGGCTCTGTTGAGTATTACTAGTTAATTCTCTATTCCTACACTCTTTCTAAAGCCAAAAGATCATTCTCCTATATGTTGAAACAGAGCAGAGAGGAGAAGACGTGTGCCCAAAGCCACTTGGCCAGCAACAGGCAGTTGGATGTAGAGGTTTCTTCATGAAGGGATTTAACTAGGGATGCTTACATGTAAGGTAGGTAAGCAGGGAGGGAAAAGTTAATGGGAACACAGAGAATGGAAAAAATGTCCTAAGGTTTCTTATAATCATCAAGTAGTTTTCTGAAGGTTTATTTATTATGTACACAGTGTTCTGCTTGCATGTGTCCCTGCACACGAGAAGAGGGCACCAGATCTCATTACAGATGGTTGTGAGCCACTGTGTGGTTGCTGGAAATTGAACTCAGGACCTCTGGAAGAGCAGCCAGTGCTCTCAATCTGTGATCCATCAAGTAGTTTTCTTTGACGTATAGACAATGCAGAGAAAATAGAAAAATGTTTTTCAACTGGAAGCGTGTCAGTCAGCTCAGGAGTGATTGCTGCATTAGCCGCTTTTCTCGTTACTGTGTCAAAATACCCTACAAAGGCCACTTAAGAAAGGAGTGAAGAAAAGATTTCTTTTGGCCCAGAGTTCAAGCATGCATCCATCATGGCTGGCAAGTCACGGCCTCAGGAGTCTGAGGCAGCTGGTTGCGTTGTATCCCTGGTCATGAAGCAGACACTGAGGAGGGCTGCTGCTCAGGACTCAGCGAGTTTTCTCCTTTATACTCAGCCCAGGACCCCAGTCCATGGAAGGGTGGTGCCCACTTTCAGGGTGGATCTTAATAGCTCAGTTAAACCTGCCTAGAAACACCCTCGTAGACACAACCACAGGTGTATGTATGTTCGTGGTTATTCTAAATCCAGATATGGTAATGATGGTGAACCATCACAATTGTCTCGGAGTGGAACCAATTATTTAAAACAAACTACTGGGGATAGGGAAGGAACTCAGTTGGTAGAGGTTTGTCTCAGGTGTGATGATGAATAGCTATAATTTCAGAAGTTGTCGGCAAGAAGCTCAGAAGTTTACAGTCAAGCTTCAGCTACTGACTTTGAAGCCAGTCTGAGGTTCGTGAAAATCTGTCCTAAAAAACACCACTAACAACAAAACATGCCAACCCCTCTCAAGCATGGGATGTTGCCAGAACACTCGAAGACCACTCCTCTCTAGGACATGTCAAAAGATGCAGTCATCATTCTTAGCCAAAAAGAGGCTGATGTGAGCAATTTACTGTTTGTTCTTACACTCTGTGGGCCGGTGTACCTAGTGGCCACAAGGTGGCAGTCAAGCCCTTCTAAATGGCCTCTGGGGCCTTTTCTGCTTGTGAGACTCTCATCCTTCACTCTAGGCTTCTGAGCCTGGAAGGAAGGCCTGACTGCCAGCCACTACAGGGTGATGGGGGTTGGTGGTGGTGGGGGTGGGTGGGGGGGTGGTGATAGTGTGGGGGGGGATGCGGTGGTTGTGGTGATGGAGGTGGTGGTGGATTCTATTCCTTAAATGAGGGAACCTGCAGTCACTGGGACAGCTTTCAGTATGACAGGGGATGTACAGGGGGATGCCTTTGCTGCTGCCAGCATCTGCATCCTGGGTAATACCTCATCTTGTGAAGCAGCAAGTGCTTGGTGCCCTGAGAGATAGTTCTAGTGACAGAAGCTGTTGGGCAGGATGCATGCTGGAAAGCCTGGGAGTTTGGCTGGGATCTGAGCTCTGCTGAAAGTCTGAATGCAGCATGGTAACATTTCAGTTCCTCCTTGAAGATAAGTTCTTGTGTTGGTTTTATCATGGGCCTCATTGCTATTATTTTGTTGGGACAGAATTCTGATTAGACGAGTTCACTGATGGCCAGAAACCCAAGAATTATAGAACATTAAGGACTGCGGTTCAGTGAGGTGGGTGCTAGTATTGAGCCCACATGGGTAGGACCTAATGCAGTTCTAAGTGTGTGCTAGTTTTTTGTGTCATTGTTGTGACAAGATCCTCAACAACAAATTAAGGGAGGAAGGGCCTGTTTTCTGAGACAGTTTGAGGACACACTTCATCACAGCAGAGAAGGCAGGAACATGAGGTGGCTGCTGGTCACACTGTGTCCCCAGTCGGGAAGGAGAGATACTCACCTGCTTTCTCCCTTTTATTAAGTTTGGGACTCCACCCACATTCAGGCCAGCTCCCTCCTCAGGTAAATCTTTCTGGAAATGCCCTTGTAGACATATCCATACCTGAGTTTCTGTGGTGGTCCTAAATCCCATCATGTTGACGAGGACCGGTAACTCTTACACAGTGCTTGCTTGCTGCATTTAATCTTCACAACTTTGGGCTCCAGCGTGGAGGATTGAAAGACACAGTAGTGGTCTTTCATGGTGTTTTTCATTCTTTAATGGTTCTGTTTCCTATCCTGACTCCAGGATGCACTTCAGGAGCAGTATTTATCCACCACTAGCATGGACACACTAGCATGGAGTCAGAAGGTGTCAAGCATCTAGGAGATGAGATACTTTGTGATCTTGGTTGTCCAACCCTTTGGAGTTTTGGATTAAAATATATATTTTTTAAATTATGTGTGTTCTAGTTTGCTTTCTGTTGCTGTGGGAGAAACAAAACAAACAAAAACAAAAAGCCTACAACCAAAAGCAACTCGGGGAAGATAGGGTCTATTTGGCTTACACCCCCAGATCACAATCCATCATTGAGATTAATCTGGGCAGAAACTTCTGACAGGAATTTAGAGACGAGAACCATAGAGGAACTCTGCTTGCTGGCTCATTTTCTGATTCATGCTCAACCAGCTTTCCTATACAGCCCACGCCTACCTACCTCCAGTTGATGCTATCCACAGTGGGTCCTCTCACATCAGCCATTAATCCAGAAAAATTCCTCACAGATATGGCCACAGGCCAATCCCATCTGGGCAAACCCCTCATTTGAGACTCCCTTAGATGACCCAGACAGTGTCAAGTTGACAGCTGATACTAATTCCGGCCAAGTGCATAGGATAGAGTGAGGTTGTGCACAAGAGTGCAGTGCCTATGGAGGCCAGAAGAGGGCATTGTATCTCCTGGTGCTGGAGATAAATTGTGAGCTGTAGGACATGCGTCTGGGAACCTAGGATCCTTCCCAACAGCAGTAGTACATGTTCTTAACCACTGAGCCATCTCACTATCCCTGGAGCTTTTCTTTTCTTTCTTTCTTTTTTTTTTTTTTTTGGTTTTTCGAGACAGGGTTTCTCTGTGTAGCTTTGCGCCTTTCCTGGAACTCACTTGGTAGCCCAGGCTGGCCTCGAACTCACAGAGATCCGCCTGGCTCTGCCTCCCGAGTGCTGGGATTAAAGGCGTGCGCCACCACCGCCCAGCAAGCTTTGCTTTTCTTACTTGTAAACTAGTGCTGATACGTATTAGGCAGGATGGATTTAAGGAGGTAAAAAGGAAATAAATCCATGCTCATTTGTTGCTGCTACACAGCCTTGTTCAACAA